AAGACAAAAGATATATAAATACTATTATGATGTATAAAAAATATTGATTTTTTTCCAGTATAAAAGCTTTTTCTATATATTGCGCGATATTTAATTTAAATGAATTTAATTGAAACCCATTGAAAAAATTACATGATCATCATTCTCCTATCAATAGAGACATTGATTTCAATGTGTAATTTAATCGAGTGTAGTCGCACCAAATTTTTAAATAATTGATTCCTTTAATTATTGTATTGCATTGTAACGATCGTTTCAATTCCACGCCTTTTGTGTCGAAGGATTGTTTTCCACCGCATCATTCACGATTTCTATCCTCATCAGACATATACCGAATAAACCTGTAGGGAGTTGGGACAAGATCCGGTTTTAAGTGGATCGGAATCTCCGGCATCGTGTGTATCGAATCGATTTTTGATCATGATTTATATACAGGAAGCTCGACGAGTTACCTATAAGGATACCGTAACGAATAATCAGATATCAATTTGTGTAAACACAAATATATTTCTTTTTTATCAGATATAATCTAATACCAATAAATCATAAATATGTATTTATCCATCTAATATAGTTTACGATACAACTTGGAAAAATAAATTTTGTACGACAGATGCTGAAAAATGATAAAAATATTACTAATAAATATTTAATTGTATATTATAGATTCCTTCGAAGTAACCGTTATATAATGGACACGGTAAACTGTTGGTGAATATGATGCCGAAACTTACAATTATAGATAGATACATTGTGATTCGATGGAATTGTGATTTTTTTTCTGAAGCGGAATAAGTTAAGATACAGGTACATATATGACTATATTACATCTCATTTTAAACAAGATACGTATAATAGATATAAATAGATATAAACTTGGAATTGTGAATAAAGTAGGAATAGATATATGCATTGCGCGGGATGTAATTATAATATCTTTTATTCTCAGAATCGATCTCTTAAATGTATATACTTGTTTGCGCTCAGGGATATATATACATACATAATTCTCGTCTCGATCGTATGCCGCTGATCGACTAACGAACGGAAAATATAAATAGAAACCGACCGTGCGGGAGATAACTGCTGCCGACAGGCTGGCCGAGTCGTGTATTAAAGCGATTTTTTGTTACGTTCGCGTTCGCTGGATATAGCTTTCAAGTTCCAGCAGTAGCGCCGACACGGTTGTCGGATCACGAGCGATCGAGTATCGCGCGCTACCTAATAATATTATCTCGGCAGACACTATTAACCCTTGACAGTCGAAACGGTAAACTGTTACATCGCTCAATCTTGGATCAAAATTATAGATGCGCGGTTGTCAAATTTGCTTTAATCCGTATTGTATAACATACGTATAGTCAGGGCTGGCGACTTCAGTAGTCCAGTCGGTCTGGAGCACTCCATACATACAAATTTCTAAGTTATAGAATTCCATACATACCTCGTCAGAAGTTTACATTCTATTTATATTAGATATTTTTCGTTTAATTATGTTGAGAATAAGGCCTCAGATATATATGTGTGTGTGTGTGTGTGTGTGTGTCAAAAGAATAGTCTAAAATATTAATGTCACCCCTCCCCCTCGCTCCCCTCCTCCAACGGAAACTCCACACATAAAAAAAATTTACTTCGCCGATCCTGTATATAATAAATATATGTATGATACGATATTTAAGATACGATATATTCTATTTACTATATCTACGTGCAAAGTTGTAAGAATTGAATTTCCAAAATCCGTTTAGATTTTTTGATCTTTTAACCAGGGAATGGAAAGTTATTTTTTAAAAGTAACTCGTTACAGTTACTGTTACTTGAAAAAGTAACTTTTCGTTACTTTTTTAAAATCGGCAATCACATCGGGTACCTAGGGGCTTTCTAGTCTCAAACGCTATGAGTGGCTTGTGTCTAATCGAACCATGTTCAATCGTGTGCCAAGTAACGATATAAAAGTAACTGTAAAATTCGTTATCGATACCAAAAAAATGTAACTAATTGTAAGGTGCAAAAAAAAAGTAACGTAGTTACCAATAAAGTTACCCAAAAAGTAACTTGTAACTGTAACTTTGTTACAATAAGTAACGAGTTACTTCTATATTCCCTGCATCTATAAACCACCCAGATAGCACTGGACATCCCAAGGACGTCCATTTTAAGTCCAAATCACGTCCGCACGTCCATGGACATAAAATAAACATTCTATGGATGTCCGAATTTGGATTTTACTTTTACTAAATGTTTTTCTTTATATTTTTATTATATTCGTATTATTTACCGAACCAAGAACCAACAAGTATTGAATAACATACTTTTTATATATCTTATATATAATATCATATTAATAATATTATCCAAATAAAATTAGTTAATCCCAAAAAATTGTAATTTTTATTTTTGTGAAATACCCAATACTTTTAAATATTTTTAATCAAATTTAAAATTGAAGACACACTTACTGCTGTGGAAATGTCCACTAAGGAGGCCTGACTCGAAGCTTTGTGGTCGGCCGCAGCGTTTCGTCCTGGTACCACACTACTAGACTCATCAGTAAGGCGATGTAGGGTGGGACTTGCCTTAGAAATGAATCGCCTGGAATGAATCCAGAATGATATTCTATTTAAAGGGAATTCGCGCGGCGTGGTGCTTACGCGAACCGAGTGAGTCCCGTGGACCTCTAGTGGCGAGTCGGCACACTGCAATATTGGACTAACTCACATTTGGTGAAAGCGGAGAAAATAAATAAGACAGTCAGAGAGGATGGTATAGCATATATTCCAATACACGATATTATCATAATATATTAGGTGTTAAACTTAATTCCTATCGTTTTTTCGTCTCGAAAATCGATTTGTTTCAAAGGAAAGATGAATGAATACCTTAATCAAAGTAATTTCCTTCATTTTCTATTACTTTTTCCCATCTCTCCGGCAACAGGGCAATCCTACGACGCGACGGTAGAACGCGGTGTCTTTCGAGGCGATCCATTGATCCACACATTTTTGGACTTGGTTGGACGGGACATAATTTGGACTTCCTTTGGACGTCCCAATGTCCAGAAACGGATGTCCAATGGACGTACAATGGATGTCCTTATGCTATCTGGGTACATACTGCTCATTTTGCTACATTTACGCGAAAACGCATGGCACTTGTCAATGCCACTCCAAATGTTGCGAGTAACAAGATTTTGTTTAGTTTTATTTAGGAATAACTAGATATCGCGGGAAGAGAGAGAAGTCTGAAAAAGCGACGTCACCCGTGACGAACGACTTGTAGATGCGAGAGCTGACGTGAGTGTGTGTGCGCGCGTTTGACGAAGCTGCCTGAAGAATAAATCAACTACCACGCTGGCATCCTTTGTTTTATAGGTACCTATCCGTATGGATAGCTAACGGTGGGCCATGTAGCTGAAATTCCCCGGTGGGAGCCCCTCGAGGGGCGATCAACCATATACCATGAGTGCCAGGACTGTCAGGACTGCCAGGACTGCCAGGTGCCCCGGCCCTCCTCCGCTCCGGCTGTTTCAACGTAATTAGTCATCCTCCAGGTTGCCGAACACACACGTACGCATCTTGCCGATGCTTGATCAAAGAGGAATAACGTACGTATGTGCGCGCCGAAAGTCCTACACTAAAAAAACGCTTGGTCATCGTGAGAAAGAAGTTTCATCCAACACAAATAAACGAATATTGACGAAGAAAGAGACATCGTGGCGTCTCGCGACGAGTACAGTGAATCCTCTACTTATAAGTTGTACGCCAAATTTTTCAGTGTGTGTTATATGTATATATATATTTTTTTTATATATATATATATAAGAACGTATAAAATAAAATATCAAGAAAAGTACAAGAATCGTATGTACGTGCGTATTTCGACTTGCAATCAGTGATTACTGTATATAATTGAAAATATATAGAGGTGCATATATATATATAAATGTTATGTAAGTCTAATTAGATTAAAAGTCTAAGATTGTATTAATATTGTAAGGTATAAAAGTATATTGATATTATAATATAAATTGTATTGTATATGAAAAATAAATAATTGAATAACACGGGGCAAGGTACGTATCGTAGTAGCGAAAATAGTAGCGTCTAAAGGCGATCGAAAAGGCAGGGAAAAAGCAGGCAAAGATACATACATCGCGTCGCGTCGCGTCGCGTCGCGTCGCGTCGCGTCGATCGCACCACTTTGGCGTCAGGGCTTAGGCGCCATCGTCCCCTTCCGCGCCGCAGCTGTTCTCACCGACTTTCCGCTGACAAATCGCACCCACACTATTTCGCGCTCATTCGCGCTACTTAGGCACTTGGACACGCACAGCGCGGCGTCGCGTCGCGTCGGCCGAATGCCGATATTGTCGATCGGATGCTCCTGCGACTTTTCCGCGTACCGCTTGATACATTAATGTAAATTACGCATGTGCGCTATTCGACTTGGAAAAATAATTGAATTCCGATCTCGATACATAAAATATATATATATATATATATATATATGTATAATATACATATAAGAAATTGCCCCTCCTGAGTTTTCGAAAGCTCTACTCGGTTCTAAAGGCGAGTGTCCGAATTCTGTGGAGAATTTTTGTACAAAGTACAAACAACTATCTAGAAAAGTGTATGTAGGTTCTCAAGAAGAGTAGAGAAATAATTAGCTGAGACAGTGCTAATGCTAGTGCGGCTGCTTCCCTGGGTGTAGGTAAACAGTTGATCAAGTCGAGCTGTGCAACCTCTGAACGCGGTAACGAGCAGTCGGTGCGGTAGCTTAACGGAGTGGCGCAGTAGGCGGCTTTTCTTTAAAAACCGACATTCGAAGCGAGCATTCTTGGATCGCTCGGCTCTCGGCTCTCGGGCTGATCTGGCTCCGAGACTCGAGAGTCCGAGGACTCCGAGGTGGCCGGTCACCGCGCCGACGCGACGCGACTGTGAGAGCTAGTGTGAGAGAGTGTGAGTACTGTGAGTAGTCGGTAGAGGTGACTGGTGAGTGGTGAGTGAATCAGTCAGCCGCTGGATATTGTCCGAGTAGCGTCGAGTGAGCGTCCGAGTGCCGCTCCACTCTCGCGTGCACGCTTGGTGCACTTGCATGCTGAACGTGCTCGCGCGTGATGCGCGCGACGGTAATATCGGTCCATCGATCGTAATCGTAACGATTCATATTCGAGGGAAACACATGCCCACATTTTGGAAATTCATCGTCCTGACGACGAACACGCCCGCCCCGCGCCGGGAGAATTCGCGTTTGAGAGACTCGCTCCACGTGGTCGATTAATTTAACGTGGATTCGGAAAATTACTTGCCGAGATATTAAATCGTAGCGAATTGATCGCGTTCGGGATGTTACCACGCGACGTACTGACTATCGCGATGATGACGACAGGTCTCGTCGTCGCTGTCACCAGCGGTGCACCTACTAATTCGGATGCAGAGGATTACGAGATGCTCGCTGACAAAGACGCGCAATTTACCGACAAAGGTAAGGGCTGGCTAGTGGCTGCAGGGCACCTCTCTGGGCAGTACCATAAGTACTTGGAAATCTACGCACAAATATTACACATGCGCTAGTTATCCTGTCTTACAACAATAATTTCTTGCGCGTTTTTAATATCTAATATTATATCTATTACGTCGCGGTTGCTACTGTTGCTGGTATAAAATGGTATAAAATGGTATAAAAGCGCCAAGATACAGATATATATGTACTTGCGTGCGGATGATCACAGGAAACACGACGCGTGCGTGCACGTGCTCGAATCGGCATGCTTCTTTTACTGATTCTCGTGAATTTAGTAAGAAAGAACAGTAGCTATCGCATCAACTCGTGCAATTATTCACCTGAGATAATCTCGAGATAAAAGCTAGAACCATAAAATGTACCTTTCGTAATTCAACAAGTGACAACGCGCGAAATATTAGGCGTAATATATAGTTGAATGGATGCGCGCATGCACGCGGCATTTTCGTTGGCTCGTCAAAGTCGTCAAGGATTTTCATCATTTCGACCGAAGGGAAAGTGTATTATATACGAGTATATGTTGCGAGGGGGTGCAGGTCGCCCAAAAATACTCGGCGCCAAAAGGGATTTGTCGAAACAATTTAGTTGCAAACAAACAAAGGTTATTACGCGACAGTGTAAACTATCTTGAAAGCCTAGGGGGTGGTCGGCCGCGTTCGTGGAAATGGAATGCTCGACGCGAGCGGCGAGCAATGAAATCGTTTACTTTACTTACTCGAAAGTCGAAACTCGAATCGAGCGCGAGCGAGCGAGGCGCTACGGTACGTAAATGATTCATCGATCGATAGATTAACATCCGATTAACTTGAGAAAGGCGCCTGCTATACGAGTATGTAACTAATGTAACATCAAGGAGCGCGCGCGCGCAAGCTCCTCTTAATTTTCTCCCTCTTAAACTCTTTTCAACTTTTTATTTACTGCTGATGTGTGAACCGCTTAAATTTAATAATTGTCAACTAGCAATACGCACATACAATACAGTTGCGTAAATTTAATTTCTTTAGGTGCTTTAGACTTGGTCTCTCTCGTATTCGTGCACGAGTGCGCAGTACCCGTAGAAATCTGAAATATACATTATACATATATATGTATGTATACGTAATATACATAAGACAGCGCGGGATGCGAGCTAATGATTAAAAAATTTCATTTTCGTCGTCGTTCGCACGGTAGTGCGAGAAACTAGAAAGACGATAAAACTCGTGACGGGCGCCAGCTAGGCGCGCGCGGATAGTGCGCGTTATATAGTATACCTATATGCATACCATGATAAATACCGACACGCTTGTTGCACGCGTAGCGTGCACGTTGTTGCATCACGTCCGCGCGTGTCGTATTCTTATTTTTTCTTTCCTCGGATAATCCGAAAATCCTACAAGTGCACGTTTCAACCTGGCTCTCACACGTCGTGACGACGTCATGGGACTAGCTCAATTTTTCAATACAATATCTACCTATATCAATTTATAACCAATCGCACATATTATTTATTTTTCTGTTTTACTAAGTATAGTGCTGAAAAAGTGTTAGTGTTATAAAAATAATTATAATAAATTCACGGTAACAATATATAATTGTATGCACTATTAATTGAGTGGTAGTGAAATAGTGAAATGTAGTTCAACTACATTGAATAGTTTATACTTGGATTCGATGCCAGTAAATAGATGTAACAAATGTAATTAATCATTGAGGTAACTTTGAGAAATACATTAAAACCTTTTCTCTAAAATCGCTCTAAAGCACGAGCAGTACGCGGCGTTGTCACCAGAGGGACTTGGCGGAGTTTAGTTTCTCTTAAGAAGGAAACCACTCTCACTTGCAATAGGAGACGCGGCCTTTTGGTTTCGAACTTGGGTTACTTGGGAGAGAAGAATAAATATACTTTTTTTGCACGCATCTTCGACAAAGTTGCAATTCTCGATATCGCGAGGTCGGTAATCCAAATGTATTGGACGAATCACTTGGCTCGTTAAATCGATCGTTTGTTAGAGTGTATACGAAATCAAGTGGCTAACAATAAGTCAAATTGTCATCTAGTCTTGTAGATTCCATAATCCACGCAAAGAGACTGCAGATAATATGTGTTTTCCAACAAGGATATAATTCGAGTCATACTGTATTACACTGGATCCCTTGTTGGAAGTTTTCGCATTACGTTGTATATACATACTATAATCGCGACAGATTGAAAAAAAAAACGATACTTTCTCTTATCTTTACTATCTAATTCATTAAGTCGTAAGCCAAGTCGTAAGCTTCGAAACAATGACAATCTATCTCTTATTTTCTATCATAGATTTCATAAATTTCAGAATGCGGGAGCAAAACCAGTTTTACGTACGATATTATACCTAGAGACTCGTACTGATACAAAAAAAAATCAAGATATTATAATTACGTTACGTATATATATATATATATATATATATATGTATAATAAAAAAGCAAACGTGCAAAGGGGATGAATTCATCGAGATCATCCTTTATAGATGATTGGTGAAAAATTTCGTTTAATCATAGTTTCGATCTGCACCGTTACTCATCATTACGTCGTCGCCGTCGCCGCCGCTGCCGTTGTCTTTCGAGTGGCGAGTGGCGCGACACGACGAAAAATGCGAGCTCATCGACGCCGCAAGTCGCAACGACGAGAGCGGAGCGCATGCACGCATACGGCATACGGCATACGGCTGGTTGATCACTCACACACGCACATGCGTATACTATGCGTGATACGCTCCTCGTAAGTGCTGCGGTGCTGCGGTGCGGTGCGACTATAGTGCGACTGTGCGACTAGTCGACTACAGCTGGCATGCACGCACGCACGCACGTACACAGCCTCGACTCGGTGGCGCCTGTCGGCCACACGGATGTGCATGCGTGCGTGACGAGTTTGTAGTTTGTACCTCTTTGGCTATGTACGTCCCATACATAAATACTTGGCGTAGTCGTGTTTATACACACACACACACACATACATATGTCCCACGAAGCGATCGCTATGCCCTACGGATTCGTAACCGAAAAAGAGATCCGGCGTTATTTATTTTAAACGGTTCGATCGTTTCTCCTTAATTTCGATACGAGTCCAAATGCTTCTTTATCGCGTCTACATTTTGCAAATATTAGTGACAGCTGATATTAGGTAGACGGAATAAATGACGTTATCGCTGCCGCAGCACACGTAACATCGCATAACGTGTGTAAAAATGTACCGACATGCAATAGTTGACATATACATGTACTTGTCTATATCCAGATTTTTTAACCACATATATGATACGTGTAAAATGCACTATAGGCCGAACAAACAACTTGTTCTTTTCGCAAAACGAAACACGCGCACATCTATCTTCAGGGAGAGAGACCGGTTTGCACCGCACGTTTATTATTTATACATATACATGCATATACTCGTATATGTATATGTAGATATAAAATATTCCGTTGATATACACCGAGTTGATCGACGTGGAATTGTACATTCCTATAATATGCCATTAATTAAATAACCTACTGTTAATTAAAATGGTGGAATTACGACGGACATATAAAGGTATATACGATTAAAAGTCACCGCGTGAAGTAATAGGCGCTTTCGCCTCGCCGTTGCAAACCGCATCCAGATTGAGCAAAAACAACGAACGACATGTAAACTGTATGTATAAAGTTAACGACTCGTTCGTTGGCCGCTGATGCAAATTCTCCGTGTAGAATGTTTTTGAATCTTATTCGATATCATGAGGAGTGACGATGCTATCGTTGAAAATTTCCTCACAATATACCATAAAAGAGATTTCCGGATCGCGATGCTATTTATACCATACTCTTCGATCTACATAAAATAGGATCGAAGAGACCAAATTAAATTTATTGTTAACAAAGAAATATATTTTATTATTCTTCAACAATTATTATAACATTTTGTTGTGGGTAAAGATTTATTCTAAACATAAGAGAATATATAAACTGAAATTTATACATGTTACTCTTGTCTCAAGACAAAAGGTTAATAAAATTAATATTGTTTTCCTTTTATTTTGCATAAAAAGTTACGATAATAAGATGAAGTACGTCACGAATATTTTTTATCTCCATGAAAAAGAGAAAAAGATATAGTTTTAATGACGATTGTTAAAAAATAACAAAATTTCTACATCTGAGGATTTGCCGCAACTTAAATTTACTTGTGTAGGCGAATGACAGGTGTTTCGACATGCTAATTCATGCGATCCCAATCTCGCTCTCGTTCACTATAGGTTGTTTATTTACTACTTAACATTTAATGCTCCGTTTGCAGCGGTATTGTTTCAAATCATCGGATTCGTAGAGCCTTACTGCAGACTATTCGACTAATTACTATATACGCATGTATATGCGTGCGATTGCAACGAAAGGACTCGATGTCATAAATTAATTTGGAAAACTTTAGGTTGTCCCCCAAGATTTATTCGCGGTTGTCTCTCACTTACTTTTTGCACTTTTTGAGGAATTGCAATTGGAATAGTAAAAATATACGCGACGTACGAGCTTCTCTATATTATCAAGTGTATTTATACGTATGTATAATATTGCATAAGAGTACATAATTTATCCCAATTTAACATTCATGACAACGCTCTCGGTCTTTCGCTTTTGTTATGTAAAAATTATACGCGGCGCGGCGCCGCATACGATCACGTATGTCGTATAATACGATCGTGTAAACGATCAAGCGTATATATACCTACGCGCGATCGCGCTATAAATGTAGCTCCTTACAAAACGTAATCCGTTTTATAAATTTAAACTTGGAATTTCACGCGAGATTTCGCGGGATACGATATCACGGGGTGATCCCGGGATTGATCACGGCTCGATTGGACACCACCAACCACAGCGACCGGTGCACCTATCGAGCGCTGTGAGTGGCTCGTGTCCAACTGGGTGCCACCCCGATATCACGTGTCTACGTCTACAGC